AGTGTGATTTACTGACTGAGAATCTTCATGAAAGGCTGGGCTGGGCTGATCACTCCAGCACAGCTACTCAACTGCTAAGAGAGAAAATCAGAAGGTCACTTTATTCAGAACACATTTTGACCTACCAATTTTTGCCCCTATTATTACCAGAATAATGTCAAAACCATCAGTATGTCAAAATATGTTCTGAATAGAGAGATACAATAAGATACAATATAAGCAATCCAAAAGAGGCACAAGCCAGGAAAGAATATGAGTAAATCATTAAGGATTTCTGTCAGGAGGTAAGGGAAGGAGTGACAATTGAAAAATAGTGGAACAACTTGGAAACAGTTCTTAAAATTGCAGCAGAGAAAAGTATTGGGAAAGCTAAAAGGGGCTTTAGGAATGGCTGGTTTGACCAAGAGTGTAAACAGGTGAGAGTGGGAAAGAATAGGAAATGCCAGAGTGCGCTTCAAAGGAAATTTACTAGAGCAGCAACAGAAGAATATCATATCCATTTTCTTTAGCCAAGGCTGTTTATCCAGGGAATCCGTCCAGGTCCAAGGCTTTGGGTTCATTTTCATAATATGATTATTTTTTATGGTGAGTTGTTAGCCCCACACCCAACCCCCAAACTGGAGGATCACCCCTTATTGGCTGTCTGTGACTGCTTATTCAATATATCTGCAGCTTCCCTCCAAAACTTTAGGGCGTCCCCTCCGTCCACAACCTGAGGATGCGCCATGCCGTGGTGACAAGGGAGAATATTTGGACCAAAGAGAGATGTAGTGGAATGAGGCTGGAGAAAACTGTACAATGAGGAACTTTATAACTTGTACTCTTCTCCAAGTATAATTACATTGATCAAGTCAAGGAGGATGAGGTGGGCAGGGCATGTAGCACAAATGGGGGAGACAAGGAATGCGTATAGCATATTGGTGGGAAAGCCAGAAGGAAAGAGACCACTGGGAAGAACAAGGCATAGATAGGTGGAAAATATTAACACTTCGTGGACCGCGCACCCTTTGAAAGGTTTTTTGCTTTTAAACATGGCAGACCGTCCGTGTGTTAACAGGTTTTTAAAACATGATAAGTTGCAACACACTATACATCTCTCTGACTCCACCTACCTAGCACGTAGCTCCTTGCAGCTGCGTGATAAGGCTCTGGAATGTCTGCTGACCAATCAGTTACTAGACCTTGCTGTAACTCTATGCCCCTGCAAATGAAAATAAATGCCTTTATTTCTTCAAGCTTTATGTAGCAAGCAGTCAGTCAGTCAGTAGTTCAATAAGGATCAAAGACCAAAGCGGTTGACACCCAAGCGATTTCTTGGAGAACAAGAAATATCTGACTTCTTCTCCCATGAGCTATCTGACATCCCTTGTGAGTCTGCTAGTGATAGCGGCTCACAATCTGATAGTGAGTGTGGCAGGGGCGAACAAAATATTGTGACCACAGACAGTGAAAGTGAAAGTGACTGTGCGGGTAGCAACATCGCAGGGACAACCACATGGGGAAAAGTAGACAAAACGCCTGCTTTGGGACAGTTTACTGGAAATCCAGGGGTGAAGCAAATTCCATCAGACCCAACGTAAGGGTCTGAAGTAGCAGAACTGTTTTTTGGAGATAGTTTCTTTGACATGCCATGTCAAGAAACTAAGAGATACTATCTCCAACACCGTGAACATTATGACAGAAGTTATAAGGCGTTGAAGTTGGTGGATGTCACTTCAGCAGAAATGAGAAAATTTTTTGCAATTATCTTTCTAATGGGCCATACAAGGAGGGATAATCTGAAAGAGTATTGGTCAACAGATCCATTTTTAAAATTCCAATTTTTGGCAAATTTATGAGCCGTAAGAGATTTGAGCAAATTTGGTGATGTTTGCATTTCAATGATAATGAACTGCAACCACAATCAACAAGCAGGCTTTTCAAAATTCAGCCCTTATTGAACTTTTTCGTTCAGAAATTTCAGACAGTTTATAAGCCAAACCAACAACTGTCCTTGGACGAATCTGCGATTCCTTGGAGGGGAAGGCTTCGTATGGGAACATATAATCCTGGGAAACTTACAAAGTATGGCCTACTTGTTTGTGTAGTTACTGAAAGCACTTCAGGCTATATTGGAAATTTCGAAATTTATTCTGTGAAGGAAAGAAATTACAAGAAACTATTCTTTCCGTTTTGGAACCCTATCTTGATCAAAAATACCATGTCTATCCGGACAATTATTATAACAGTGTGGCAAATGCAAGAACACCTATTTTCGAGAAAAGTATGTGTTTGTGGAAGAATTAGGGTGAACAGAGACCTTCCTCCAGATCTGAAAGAGGAATGTAAATCCCTGAAATGTGGTGAAACCACATTCAGGAGGAAGGGGGATATTCTTCTTCAGTCCTGGAGGGATACTTGTGTTGTGAATATGATTTCCACAATTCACATTTCGAGCACGGTTGATGTTCAAAGGAGACATGGACACGTAAAGATGCCTGTTTGTATTTCCGAGTATAATATTGTGACATGTTGTGCAACAGAGGACCCCTACCTCCCCAGCGGCATGTGGCGGTAACGTAGCTCTCCCTCCCCCCTCCGCGGTGACATAAGATGGCACGAGGTAACAGCGTTGCTAGGCTATATGCAAACACGGTGACCCGGCACCGCTTCCTACTGTGGCGTGGCGGGCAACAGGTAACAGCGAACAGAATAAAAGCCGGCTGAGCAGCAAGCGAGGGCCAGTGTGTTATCAACGAGTTCTCAGTTCGCAAGTTACGAGCTACAGACGCGTGTGCGGGAATCAGTGATAGTTCGTGATAACCAGTTATATTTGGAGTGTGTAATTCAGCGAGACTTGTATCCCGCGTTATTAATACGTGAAGACTCTTGAAGATAGTGTGAAGAGATTTGTTTGTAGGGTTTGTAAAGTGTGGAAACCCGTAACTTTGTTATCATTAATTGTAGCCGTTACTTGTAGATTGTTAAATAAACCAATTAACCACCTCTACGGCATCTTCGGTAACAAAACACGTTACAATATGTTCATGAAGGGAGTTGATAGAGCCGATCAGTACTTGGCCTATTATTCTCTTCCTCGGAAAACAGTAAAGTGGACAAAGAAAGTTGCCTTGTGGCTTATAAATTGTGCCATTTTCAATTCAATTTTGGTTTCCAAAAATCTAAACCCTCATTCAAAATTGAAATACAAGGCATTTCTGCTGAATGTGGCAAAAGCCTGGGCTACAGACCACACGGTGGCGGCAGACAGTCTTAGTACGACCGGGGCCACCTACTCCCACCCCACGAGGGCCTCATTTTGACCCCCCTGGGCGACTCTCGGGTGATATGCGGAAACACACCCTCGTGAAAATTGTGAAGAGTGAACATTTCAAGGGGAAGCAGCCTTCTAGGCAATGTCATGTTTGCGCAATTCACAAGAAAACAGTAGGACTGCCTATATTTGCAAGTTTTGTGTAATGCCACTTCACAGAGGGGAATGTTTCAAGAAATATCACAACCTCAAGAACTTCTAGAAGCATTGGTAAGTGTTCTCAAAAAATTTTAGTTCATAAAATTAGGAGATTTTATATTAATTTTTAAAGTGAACAGTGCACAAGTTAGGGTAGTAGGTATAAAAATGCCGGTCCGCAGGGTAATTTAAATATTTAAACTGCCGGTCCGTAAAGTGTTGAAAGTGCATCTTAGAGAGATAGGGTGGGATGGTATGGATTGAATTGATCTGGCTCACGATATGGACCAGTGGAGGGCTCTTGTGAACACGGTAATGAACCTTCGGGTTCCATAAAATGCTGGGAAATTCTTGAGTAGCTGCAGAATTGGCAGTTCCTCCTGAAGGGCTCAGCTCCGTGAGTGAGTGAGTGAGTGAGAGAGTGAGTAAGTAAGTAAGTAAGTAAGCAAGAGAAGAATACTGTGATGTGAGAATGAAAGGAAAAAGGATTCATAAGAAGAAAAAGGATTATTATGAAAAACAACTTAAATTGCTACAAAAATGTGATACTAATATGACAGTTGGAAGTTCTACAAGCAAGTGAATACAATGAGGGATGGCTTCCATGCTAAACCACTGAGTTGCAGGATTACAGATGGTAACACTCTCTCAGATAAAGCAGATATCCTGAATAGATGGAAGGAGTATTTTCCAAATCTGTATGATATGACAGAGGATAAGTTGGAAATGCCCCCACAGTGGACAGTACCATCTACTGATGAAGTTGAAGAAATACCATTACTTACCATACAAGAGGTGAATTTTACAGCTTTAACACGTTAAGGACTGGCGATTTAAATACTTAAATCACCCTGGGGCCGCCATTATTAAACCTACTATCCTAACTTGGCAGGGTGGCTGTCTTTGGTGGGAACGTATCATAGACCAGGGATGTGTTGAGACACAGCTTTGGAACACCTCCTCGTGGTCCTGCTGGGCAACGACATTCTTGGGGGGGTCTGCACTAGCATGAGCCTCCGGGGCTGGCGGCTGAGTTTCCATAAAGGGCAATGGCTATTTGACCAGAGCCTCCCACGCGGCGGCATAATGACTCTTGGGTTTCATTATGATGTACCCGGGACGAATGCGGGAGAGCACTCCTATGGAGGTAGCTACGGCTATTTGAGTTGTCTCCCTAGAGTACCGATAAGGTGCTGCAAGTCTTCGGGCTCAACACTCTAAAATGGTTTCGACCAACCCATGTCGAGGGGTGGGAATGGGGGAGCTCTGAAGCAACCTCCAGGGGCGATAATCTCGTGTAGGATGCCCTGGTCGCAACCTCATGACAACTAGTATCGCACTCCCATTTATCATCTGGGATACCCCCCTCCCCCCCGAACATGTATGATGGGGTAACCAAAAGAAACCGAACTAATTTTTTTGTGGGCAGAGCTTTTGTAGTACCGCATTTTGCCGCTATGAACGCATAGAGCTAACACTCCTAAGTCGATAAGCCGACTACCGTTGCTTCAGAAGGTAAGGACTAGTTTTGGCAGAGTTTATAGTGACAACTGTTTTGTGTGATCGTCGTTTTTGCAATGGCTGATTTTCGTGAACAGCGTGCGGCAGTGAAATTCTTTTTGCTCGGGAAAAGTGGAACAGAAACTCTTGAAATGTTAAAAACGGCGTACAACGACGATGCCATATGGTAAACTCAAGTGTTGTGAGTGGTTTTCCCGTTTCAAAAATGGTGAAATGTCAATTGATGACAAACCTCGTTCCACGGCCCAAACACATGAAAATGTTGAAAAAATTCGTGAAATCATCAAGGAAGATCGACGACGGACCATTGAAGAAATTGTGGAGCTGTCGGGAGTGACTTGGAGCTCAGTTCAGCGAATTTTGACAGAAGATTTGGGAATGAAAAGGGTGGCTGCGAAATTCGTGCCACGACTGCTGACTGCTGAACAAAAACAAGGTCGCGTGGAAGCATGCTGTGCTTTGAAAGAAGAGTCCCGAAATGATCAAAACTTTTTTTCAAAAATTATCACCGGTGACGAAACCTGGTGCTATGCTTACAATCCTGAATCAAAGCAACAATCAAGCCAGTGGAAGACTTCAAGTTCGCCTCGCCCCAAGAAAGCTCGTCAGGTGAAATCAAACATGAAAACAATGCTGATTTGTTTTTTCGATGTGAGAGGAGTCGTCCATTCAGAGTTTGTTCCGCAGGGTCAGACAGTTAACCAGGCTTTCTACTTGGAAGTTTTGAAAAGATTGCGCAACAGTTTGCGGTGTCAGCGGCCAGATTTGTGGCAGTCGGGTGACTGGTTTTTCCATCATGACAATGCCCCTGCTCACACAGCCCTCTCTGTATGACAATTCTTGACCAAAAATGGTATGACCCCTGTTCCTCACCCTCAATACTCACCCGACCTTGCCGCGTGCGACTTTTTTTGTTTCCTCGAATAAAAAGAGACATGAAAGGAAAGCGTTCTGCTGATGTTGCTGAGGTGAAGGAAAAAACGACGGAGGCGCTGTCAAGCATCTCAAAAGATGAATTTAGACAATGTTTTGAAAAATGGAATAAAAGACTAGACAAGTGTATTAGTGTAAGTGGAGAGTACTTTGAAGGGGATTGAAGGTTTGTGCTTAAAATTTGAATAAATAAGTTTAAAAAAATAAGTTCGGTTTCTTTTGGGTACCCCCTCATACTCTCGGTCCTGGAGGCTTGTGAGGGTTATACTTATGAAGGACCAACATCCTAAGCCAAGGTGTGAGGCATCGTGTCGAGGGCTGCATGGCACTGAGGGGGGTTATTGGCCAGTGTCACGAATGATCCCCTCGGGGTATCAGGCAGCACCCAGTTGTATTTATACCTTCTACCCGTATAGGGCTCTGCGGGTGGTGACCTTTTAAATCCCCAT